CTGAGAGACTAGGGGCCACTGGGAGACATGGGGCTACTGTGACCCTAGTGTCTCAGGGTCCCCATGTTCCCCAGTGTCTCAGTGTCCCAATGTCTCAGTGTCCCCATGTCTCTCATCATCCCAATGTCTCACAGTTTCCCCTAGTGTCTCAGTGTCCCCAGGTCTCCAAGTGCCCCCTAATGTCTGTGTCACAAATTGTCCCTATGTTTCCCAGTGTCCCCAAGTCTCTTACCGTCCCCAGGTCTCCTAGTGCCCCCTAGTGTCTCAGTGTTCCCAAGTGTCCCTATGTCTCCCAGTGTCCCCTAGTGACTCGGTGCCCCCTAGTGTCTATCCCCATGTCTCCCTGCAGCCTTTCCCCCCATCCCTCACTTACCTGTTGGCTGTCTCTGGAAGCTCTGCGCTGCTGTTTGGACTCTTTGTGCAGAGCAGCTTTCCCGCGGATCAGCAAGTAGAGCGAGGCAGGGAGGAAGATGCTGTAACTTCTTATGCCTGCCTCTCTCCACACACTCTACTGGCCAGTGCTGGTATTGCAGAATAATCTATGTTTATACTGAGACTGACATTTGTCTTGCCGGTATTACTGCAACCATCTAGGCAGCCTAAAATACTTCTGAGAAATACCTGGCAACCCTAAGAAATACCTGAAAAATACCTGGCAACCCTAAGAGTAGTGTGTAAAAAAATCAATGGGCCTATTCCATGGGCTTAGGCTAGGGCATGGAGCTGCAGCTCCATCAGACCCTATGTTAATCCAGCCCTGGTCAAATGTCTGGAACCCTTTTCGGATGCATCCCCTTGCGACATCGGGGAAACTATATCTCTGCCTGCTCCACTCCCAGACCAGCTAGGAGAGTGCTCTAAGGGAGAAAGATACCATCGACCAGGGGGAGCATTCACTCCTTTAAAGCCAGGGGGAGCCTTAGTTGGTGTTTGCATGGGAACCCCCGAACATTGACCGGCCACTGCCCATTTTCATTGGAACTGTTTTGGGCTTCAACCTCGTGGCCGGCCAGTCGGCCGATCAGTCAGAACTTTACCCCAGTGGCGATTTCTCTTCCAATAAACTGATCTGAACACTATTTAACCCCTTAAGGACCAAACTTCTGGAATAAAAGGAAATCCTGACATGTCACACATGTCATGTGTCCTTAAGAGGTTAAACAACTTGGGCGCTCAGATCTGGGCTATCTGGGGATATAATATATGTGGGGTTCCTGTGAATATATTGAGGTGCTTTTGGGGGAATTTGAATATTTTCTGTTTGGTTCCCTGTAACTGAGAGATAATTGAGTTACAGTTCCTTGTAAGCTTGTAATATTTTTGTATAAATTGAGAGTGCCTTGCCTGAATACATCAGATGACTCCCAGAACTATATATCGTCTAGTTACTGGGGGAATCCGAGCTACAATCACACAAGGTTCCAGTCTGGCTGAAAGGGAAGTTAGCGGAGGTAACTAGTCAAGTTACCCGGAGTCCGCTACAGTGCCAAAGCTATTGTTTTGTTAAAATGGGTCTACTCTTAAGAAATCTAGTCTACAGGCATATTCCAGACTTTGGTGTATATCAGGGGTTCCCAACCCAGTCCTCAAGTACCCCCTAACAGTCCAAAATTTAGGGATTACCCTGTTGTGTCTAAAGTGTTTTTCCCCCCTCTTTCTAAAAACACCTTAGACACAACAGGGTAATCCTTAAATCCTGGACTGTTAGGGGTACTTGAGGACTGGGTTGGGAACCACTGGTGTGAATCATTAGAAGAAGAAAAAAATAAATTAGAGAAAAAAAACATCATCAGGGGGATATAAGGTTAACACATAGTAGTAAGAGGGCTATTCGTAAAGTTCAATAAGTAGGTTTCCAAGGGCCCGGATTATCTGCCCGTCCACTACAAGTCAATCGGTGCTTTACCACCAGGAGTCCCGACTCCCGTAACACATTGGGCCTTTGAAGGTTCTGCCAATCCACGTATCCTCTTCCCTTAGAGTCCACTAGCCAGCCACCACCTGCACCTCCACCATATCACCACAGTCCCAGTAGAATAGAATGGGTGCCTCTCACCCGCCGCTCATCAGAGGCTGGGGATGTTCGGCTCCACAGTATGGTGACCTTATGACCATTTTTTAGAGCAATATTTGCTTGTATCTTCCCCCTGGTAGTGTTTTGGATATTTTTTTTCTTACAAAGTTTTTTTTTTATCTCTATTGATATATACATAAGACCTCTTTCATTGTGTGAGAATGCTCAATAACTGCATGCGTAAAGCCAATGATTGTGTTTCTGTTTCACTTTGAAATGAGATCCAGTTTCTTTTGCTGGAGAAGACCAGATGAAGATAAAGTGCCCTGGGGGCATCTGGTGTCCCTTTAAGTTGTCAAATTGTGCTAAAATAGGACATCTTACTGTAGAACAGTGCAAGGGCTCCACTGGCACCATAACTGCTAGGGCACGCTGTAGTAGTTATGGTGCTTGGAACGTTTCTTTAACCCCTTAAGGACCAAACTTCTGGAATAAAAGGGAATCATGATATGTCACACATGTCATGTGTCCTTAAGGGGTTAAGGCTAACATAGGTACGCTGTGACTATGAAAGAGTTGTATATATCCATCGACGCTGCTATCCTGTGCCTGTGTCCCCCGATTTACATGTAACAGGTAAAACGACACACGGTGGGTATCGGAGGAGGGGGGGTAGTATGATAAATTAGGAGTGTTTTCCACCCCAGGCCACTCGAGATACATAGACAAATACTACAATAGACAAACCCTATGGCCATGATTTTTGATAAGGACAAATGCCTTTACTAAATGAAACGCTTAAACGGTGAGCCAGGTTTGCTCGACCACTGCTCCTGTCAGACCAATAACTATCGCTACTTGTTTAAAATGATGCTTGTACCATTGCTAGAACACTATGTCAGATGAGTGATCCTTATTACTACTGTTACTTATAAGTGTGTTGACTTTGAACCACTGTTGTGTATTTTATTTTATTTTTTATAATTCTTTATTTATGTCAAGGTTCGGCACCACAGCAAGGTATACAACACAATTCAGATGCTTCCATTAACACGTATACATATAATCGGAAGCTAGTGTCTGTAAAGTTATGCATTTTCATAAAAAAAACAGCCTATAACAATTAAACAACCCATGTCTTGTGAACTCGAAAAGTCCTTAAATAGTGACCTCGCCCCCGTTTTTAATTTTATTTTATATATGTGTGCCCCTTTTAGCCTCTACGCGTGTATAACCTGGGTAGCGAGTACAAGCCATTCAGAACACTCACTTATGCTAACAGATACAGCACATTTTGAAACTGAGTACAAAATAGCTTGAAAGTAACAAAGTCACGCTTCGTAGTTCGGCACCGTACCCCTCCAGTAAGGGTCCCGGCTGCGAACCACAGTAGAAAGTAAGGACAAGAGTAAAGGAAAGGAAAGAGAAGAGTAAAGAAGTAAGTCAGACGGGGCAATAAGGCGACAAGGAGAAGGCTGCCAGGGAGGGTGGGCCCGGGGAAGAGACGGGGCGCAAGACCCCCTCTCCCCCCCACCGCCCCCTAAGTCCCCCGTTCCTCCTATCCCCCTAGCGGGCTCTCATCCCATGGTCCCCAGACCTTCCTAAACGTTCCCAAGGATCCTCGTATTCTAGCTGTCAAGTCATCCATAAGTCTCACCTCTCTTATCTGTGAGTATACACTAGCCATTGGTGGGGCTTCCGGTTTTAACCAGGTGTATGCTATTGCTCTCCGTGCACTGTTGTGTATTTTACTGCTAGATGATTACTGCTGCACAAATGATGAAATAAAAAAAACAAAATTCTCTCACTACATTAAAAAGTGTGTTTAAAGAGATCTGATAAAACAGTCGTCACATCTGGAAATGTGCATCTCTACTTAAGGAGAATATATCATTTATAACGTAAATTAGTTTTTTTTATTTTGTTAAGATAAAAGACTTCATAAGTATAAAATATTTCTCAATAATAAATTATAAATATTATTAATAAAAAAATAAATAAAAAGGTTGTATAATTTCTCCAGATTAGTTATTTGTGGCTCAGTATTGCTGTTTGGTTTTCCATTCACTGCAATCTAGTATATAAACCCTAATGTGAATTTCAAATATTTTTTCAAAATAGATGAATTGTAAAGAATTTACAAGTCAAATAAGGTTTATTCACTAAACAATGAATTATAGTGAACCATATTGTAAAACTGAGGCTCAGATAGCCAAGTTGGAGAATTTTCTTGAATCTGCACTTTTTGTAAAAAACAAACAAAAAAAAAAAACAAACAAAAGTTGGGGGTGAGGGCAATAGTGTGTATTTTATTTTTTCAAATAATCTGGGCCTGATTATTCAAGCCAGTTCACAATTTGAATTGCAAAATCCATACAGTGTTGTAGTCCAAAGAGCCCGTATGAGCCAGATGATTTGATCCCATTTATTACAGGGCCATTCAGACTTTAGATAGAGTTTATTCGCTAACTTCGAATTGCTGTGGAGTGAAATCTGAATGGCAAATTATAATCCGGAATAGGTCATCGTGAACATTTCTCCAACTCAGAGGGGCCCAAAAGGTAAATCCCCAGATGTTGTAGAACTACAACTCCCATGATGCTTTGCATGCCCTTTAGAATGACAAGGTACCATGGGAGCTGTAGTTTTAAAACATCTAGGCACTTTTAGGGACCCCTGCTCTAACTCAAGTATAACTGCATGGGGTTATTCACTGAAGTGAGAACTCAAAGTGAATTTCAAATTTAGGGCCAAAATAGCAGTAATGGCAGCATAGCTGAATTAGAGGGAAAAAATTCCAGTTTTACTATTTTAACCATAAATTTGTAATTTACTTTGAATTTTCAGCCTGGATTGAGTGAGTAGCCCCCTCCCCCAGTCCCTGCCAGAGCTGTCTGTACTATGCTCTGTACATTGCTCCCTCCTGCTCAGTGCCACGCTCCCCCTCCAGGCCGCCAGGTGTCGCTGTGCGCGCTCTCGCCCCGTGCACGGATATCTTCCCGGTGATAGAGCCGTTGTACACGGGTAGGGGAATCTGATCGGACACCGTTGCAGCCGTTGGTACCATGGAGATCGGTACCGAGATCAGCCGCAAGATCAGGGTAGGGATATCACTGTGTGCCTGAGGGGAGGGGTGTATGGGGTAAACTAGGAGATCCGAACCAGAGAGAGATCATCCAGCTGGACCCTGTAACAGGGGGGAGAGGGGGGCTGCTGGACCCTGTAATATGGGGGAGAGGGGGGGGGCTGGACCCCTGGGACCCTGTGTAATATGGGGAGGGGGGCTGGGTATGGGGGCTGCTGGACCCTGTAATATGGGGGCCGCCGACCCTGTAATATGGGGGGGGGCTGGACCCGTAATATGGGGGGGCCGCTGGACCCTTATGGGGGACTGTAATATGGGGGCTGCTGACCCCCCTGGACCCGTAATATGTGGGGCTGCTGGACCCTGTAATATGGGGGGTGCTGGACCCTGTAATATGTGGGGTGCTGCTGGGCCCTGTAATATGTGGGGGGTGCTGGGCCCTGTAATATGTGGGGCTGCTGCTGGGGGGCACCTGTAATATGTGGGGGGCTGGACCCTGTAATATGTGGGGCTGCTGGACCCTGTAATATGTGGGGGGGCTGCTGGACCCTTTAATATGGGGCTGCTGGACCCTGATATGACCCTTTAATATGGGGGGCTGATGGGGCCCTGGACCCTGTAATATGTGGGTGGGTGCTGCTGGACCCTGTAATATGGGGGTGCTGCTGACCCTGTAATATGTGGGGTGCTGCTGTAATATGTGGGACCCTGTAATATGGGGGTGCTGCTGACCCTGTAACATGTGGGTGCTGGACCTGTAACATATGGGGGCGCTGGACCCTGTAACATAACATATGGGGTACGGCTGGACCCTGTAACATATGGGGGGCTTGGGGACCCCAACATATGGGGGCTTAAACCCTGTAATATGGGTGGGGGGCTGCTGGACTCTGTAATGGGGGGGCTTCAACTTGCTTTATAGAGGGGGATTCAGTCTGCTGGTCATGGGGGGGTTGAGGTCAGCCTGTAGGACCTGGTAATGAGAGGGACGGGGCTTCACATTGGGATTTCTCTGTTATTCTAACACAGTCAAAATATATTATATATTAGGGACTACTTTTGTCTTGCATGTTTTCCCTCTGCTCTGCCATTAGGTTTTGTCACTAGTGGTGGGTGGGTTGGTGGGGGGATGCATTTTGCCAATGATTAAAAAAAATATATATATATATATATATTTTTTTAAATTTAGGTGTTCATTGTGTCTCTATATTATTTTGTTAAAACAGTCACCCTAGTCCTGCCTATTTTTTTCATATGATTGGCACTGATGGGGGAGCAATATACCGGTCATTATGCCAGCAAGTCGGATATGAGTTACTTAAAGCTAGTAAGAAGATCCAGCTAGAAGAGTATCATTGGATGTGTTTTTGCTTCCTTCTCAAATGGAACAAGACAGGCAATGCCTCGTGTGTGTTTTTATGACTATGTTCCTACCCGTAAGACAGTCACATCTATGGCTTAATTGGACGGCCACATGAAGTGTGCATCTATTAGAAGGGTCCAAAAATATTTTGGCTATACACTGTATATCAAAGACTATGTGTAAAGGCAAAGGTGAGATTTACTTACCTGTACCTGTCTTTCACAGGAGCCATGGTCTACCTTTTGCTCCTGGCGTTTTAGCTACACGAGAGTCCAGCAATGAGGTGTATGGAGGATCCCGCAAGACCCGGGATACTTCATAGAAAACTAATTTCCCTGCAGATGTCACTGGTGACGACTGGGGGAAATGACATGCCTTGACCACTTATATCTTTAGACTGTTAATATGTCCACATTCTATCTTTGCAAAATAATAATTTTGAAGGGTTGTGGGGATGGGGGTGAATGTGACAGTGCCGCTTTAATCCATTAATGAGAAACCGCAATGTTTACATTGCACCCAGACCACTTCATTGACATTAAGTGGTCTGGGTGACTGGTGCTCCTTTAAAAAAGCAGCTAAATAGTGTTTTTAACACTGTACGGTCAGGAATACATGTATGTGTCCCTGACCCTATAGTGTTCCTTTAAGTGAATAAAAAAAACGTGTTGTATCTTAAAGGCAGATGGCTGAAGTGATAACTTTAAAGTGTAGCTTATATTTGTTTCCCCATTGGGCTGTGTTGGTTCATATATGTGAGCCTGTGGAGGTATATATTATATATAATTTTTATTTATTGATTTCTGTTTTGCTCTTTTATTTACAGACTGCTATTAAAGGCAAACTTCAGGAGCTCGGAGCATATGTTGGTATGTATGAACATTTTCTATACCTGGTCCTAGTCAATTCATTTCCTTCATTTACAACTTTCAGTGAGCTCACTCTGTTGGTGACGTAACAATAGTTTAGTGTACTCTGTATACATAGTGTATTTGTTTAGCCTTTGATTTTAAAAGGCAGATCATGATTTTAAAGAGACACTATCCTATCATTAATTGGAGTGTAACAGAGGTACTTGTGACAAACTGGACTTCGTCACGGGTTCTTGGAGGGGCATACATGCCAGTCTCTTGCCCTGTGGCTATGTTAAATCCTGGTTAAAACCACTATTTGTGCCTTTTTGTACTTGTATGGCCACAATTCGAACTTTTGAAGTGGCACTTCGAACTCCCGAAGTCATTTTGAAGTGCCATTCAACCACGCGGTGGCGCCATCTTGTTCGCATGGACCAAAACCACAGAAACATAGAAACATAGAATGTGACGGCAGATAAGAACCATTCGGCCCATCTAGTCTGCCCAATTTTCTAAAAACTTTCATTAGTCCCTAGCGTTATCTTATAGTTAGGATAGCCTTATGCCTATCCCACGCATGCTTAAACTCCTTTACTGTGTTAACTTCTACCACTTCAGCTGGAAGGCTATTCCATGCATCCACTACCCTCTCAGTAAAGTAATACTTCCTGATATTATTTTTAAACCTTTGTCCCTCTAATTTAAGACTATGTCCTCTTGTTGTGGTAGTTTAGCCGCGAATGCCCTGGAACTATTTTCGGCATGAAAACCTCATGTTTCCCGGTTGGTTCTCCAGCTGCACTTAGCCGCAATTCTATGGAACTATTTTTGGCTATGGGACCATGTCTGCGATCGGTAAAAAATGACTTCCATATAATTTCTGAACCCCTGAACTGATCTGGGTGATTTTTGGGATATGTTAGATCACCCAGATTAGGGCTATCAGGGGATGTAAGATTTGTGGGGGATATTGTGTGTTTTGGGGTACTTTGGGGGTTTTGTAAAATATGTTCTTTTTTCCCTTGCAGATAATTGAGTTGATACAGTAACTCAATTATATCTCAAGCAATGGGGAGGGATTGTATGCCATGTGTGGGAGTGCCTTAGATTGTAACTATTGTTATTTGTTTACAATTTTGTGTCACTGTCCCCAACAAGGTTCATGTGTGCGTACCCCTTGCATGGGGATTGTCATAAAAGGCTAGTGTGGCACCATTTAAATTGAGTTCCTGTTTTAACCCTCAGCACGTACCCCTGTCTCGTGCTTGTAGGGAACCTGCTTCACAGCTATATCACTAGCTCTTATAAGAGCTTCACAGCTATACTCTCTTGGAGGAGAGGTCTTCCCACTGAGTCCCTGGATCCAGGAGTTTGGTCCAGGACGGGAAGGGACGGTGAGACCCCAACCAAGCTGCAGTGGTTCATGGGGTCTATGGTGCTTATGGTGTCCGGTGCAGTGCTTATGGTACTCAGTGTCTGCTAGGAAGCATTAATTGGCTGATGTACCCTGTCAGGGTGCCAGGCAGACCGTCACAGTACTAATGGTGGCCTCGTAATGTAATTCTCATCAATCCCTATACGCCATAATTCTGCACTAGGAAGGACCACTTGTTAGAGTGTGCGTGTCATTTCACAGACACGAGAAAGCCAAAGAATTGGTAATCTCTGGATCCCCAGCTCAGGTGGAACAAAAAATGTACTATAAAGATACAGAGACACGTGTTAGGGGGAAATGCCATGTCTGGGTTAAAATAAGTGTGTTGCCGTGTTTAGACTTGAGAGATGGAGGATTTTCCAAAGCTTGTTATTCAATTATATCGATTATAGCACATAATATGCCTGCTAACAAAGATAACGATGTTCTAAAAGGGACACTATAGTCACCAGAACTACTATAGTGCTAGAAATATGCTTTGTTATTACATACATTATTTATCATTATTCTATTATTCAACAATTTGTTTTATTTAATTTCACGTCTTCTTGAATTGTTTTCCATGTGGTGGTTTGATTAGGGTGTCCAATTCACTCTTTCTTTTGGGTCATAGAGGGTTAATGTTTCACCCCAATTAACTAACCGTTAGTATGTACATTTAAATATCCCAGCAGTATGCTAGCATATCATGCCTAGTACTAAGTGCCATGTGGCATGAAATGCCTTCGGTGGTTGTCCTGGGAATCTTTTGATGTATGTTGCTGTCCTTATTTCTTTCCTCCTTTTTTTTTTTTCCCTTGCATACCTCTAATAAGCTTTATTGAATCCATGAACCGTGGACAATTTCCATTAAGGGCATCATTATCCGTGTTACCAGGCGTATACAACCTTGTGCTATAATTGTATTCATAAGGATTGACCACCCGGGCTCCACTATTTGTGAATCTAAGTTTTTGTGCACGGTCTCACTATTTTATATAATTTTTTTTTTTTGCTCTTAATTGAATCACAGGATTTTCTTTTTCTGGAGTCCTATTTGTGTTTATTCCATTGTATTGGCCCATTAAAAAAGTAATACAGAATACTGCAATTGCAATACTCTTATCTTGCATCTTCATTACTGTGCTCATATGACTGTCTCTAAAACCTTATTATGCAGATACGTTTGTCTTGTATAATAATAATCAAGCTTTGATCATTATCAGTTTAGAGCATGCTTCCCCAAACTCTGTCCCTCCAGATGTTGCTGAACTACAACTCCCATGATTCTATAAATGAAATGGATAGGCTGAGAATCATGGGAGTTGTAGTTCAGCAACATCTGGATGGCCGGAGTTTGGGGAAGCCTGGTTTAGAGACTAGTAGCTAATTTTGGAGTAAGTAATGGTTTACATCTCTAGTGTTGTGTACTCAGAAAAATTATGCAAAGGGAAGGCTAATGGACTAGAACAGGCATAGGCAACCTTCGGCACTCCAGATGTTTTGGACTACATCTCCTTTGATGCTTTGCCAGCATTATGGGTGTAAGAGCATTATGGGTAATGTAGTCCATAACATCTGGAGTGCCGAAGGTTGCCTATCCCTGGACTAGAACATTATATGTTGATCAATTATAGAGCAAAGTTCTAAAACTAGAATGAAATGTCCCAGCTGATGGCTTCTAGAACGTTGGCCCAGAATTGCTCTTTTATATTTAAATGTCAGTGTGTAATAATTTTGTCTTTGGCAAATAACCCTTAAATTTCCTTTTTTGTATTAGATGAAGAGCTTCCTGATTATATTATGGTCATGGTTGCCAACAAGAAGAGTCAGGAGCAGATGACCGATGACCTGTCTCTGTTCCTTGGGAACAATACAGCCCGATTCACCACATGGTATGTGCCAGCTTTACCAATCATGTTAGTGGAGAGGGGAGTGGGCATTGAGCGAGGCAAGATAAGTTTATATTACCTGCAGCTGCTTGGTAGGAGAGAAGCCAGCTGGGAATGTGGAGGCTCTTGGACCGGCGCCTACGCCAGTGGATTTATGTGTTACGGCAGGGATCACTAAAATGGGAAGGGGCACTGCAAAAACACCACACAATCATTCTGCACAAAAACTTCTGTATTTATGAACTCACAATGACATTTTACACATCTACCCCTGTATTCACTAACCTTCTACGCATGTTGACACTCCATGCCAGGCTTCCCCAAACTCTGGCCCTCCAGCTGTTGCTGAACTACAATTCCCATGATTCTCAGCCTATCTATTTCATTCATAGAATCATGGGAGTTGTAATTCAGCAACATCTGGAGGGCCGGAGTTTGGGGAAGCCTGCTTCATGCTGTAGAGCAAATTTTAATCAAAATTGTATATGCTTTTGTGGCGAGTAACTTTCAGGCTTGGCTAGTAAGTTAAGACTTTAAATTTTAAGCCCTCTTGTCTATCACATTATATTTAAGGAGTGGGTCAAAGAGCTAATTCTAGTTTGAGATTCTAAGGAAACCGTGCCCTATAATCACAGCATTTACTGTGTGGAACCTTAAAGTGTTAGTCCAAGTACCATGACCACTTCATAGGTGGCTCTGAGCTCGACAGAATGGTTTGCCCCATTACCAAGGAATGGCACCAAAGTACTCCTGCGATCATAACCACTACAGTGGCTGGTTGTGCTTATGATTCGTGGATTAACACTACATTATAGTGCAGTGAACTTGCTCATTCTCCAATGCACTTGTTTGTATCATTTTAAATGTGGCACCTGCAGAAATTAATATATTTTTATCCCTTTACAGGCTGCAGGGAGTTCTCGATAAGCTACGTTCACTCACACCTGGTAAGTGCCCATTGCTGTTTTACTTACAAGAAGGATACATTTTGTATAATAGAAGATCTGTGTAGGCTGAAACATTGCACGCTATGTTGTGAGAACATGTTTTGGATACTAGAGCCTTCCACAAATTGTCATTATTGGCTGCAAATAATGCACATAGGTATTTAATATCTATCTAGGCTCATAATGTCCACTCACCACTACCCTTTGAGGGAACCTTTAATGCTGACGAGTAGAAATGGTTATATTTCTAACACTAAAGGTAAAACTGCTAGAACAATCATGATCAATTTTTGGAAACTAATGTAATGCTGACAGTGAAATGGTCCATTCACTCCTCCCCTCCATGACTATGACACATTGAGACTTCCTTACTATTTGAACGCACCGGATGAGCAGATATTGTCGGCAAACTTGCAGGCATGCCAGTAACGACTTCTAGCAGAGAAATGTGTCCTCTGCAGCAGTGTTACCTTCATGGAGGAGTACCCCTGCAGCTCTAAAATCAATTCCTAAGTATCCCTGCCTCGAAAGTAATTTCTGTTGATTTAAATTCCAAATGAAATGTGTAGACACTGATATTTATGTTAATCCCATATTGGAGGTAGTAAAGAAAATATGTTTTTAAATATATATGACGTAGTATAAATATTGTGTTTGAATTATTATTCTGGAGTATAAATGTTACAAAATGAAAATGTAATATATAATAGTTACACACAGATAATACTGACACATTTATACACAGAGGACACTAACATGCACACACTTATACACAGAGGACACTAACATGCACACATTTACAAATAATAAATTTAAAAAAAAAATTATTTAAAAAAAAAATACCCCTTTGGGAGAGCTGGCATGTGTCCTTTCCCTGGGGTCGAGTGTGAGGCTTGTGTAATCTTCATGATCTTCCAGCACTGCTCCCTCATGCGCTGTTTAGTGATCACTGCAGAGTGCGTGAGAGAGCAGGGCTGGAAAATAATTACCTTGGGGTACATGTATCTGGTTGAGACATAAGGGGAACTTCCACTATAGCTATATCTATAGACTGGACTGTGGTGTCCAGTGGATCTATGGAAGTAACAAACCATTATTAACTGTCTGACTCCACACTGTGTAATGGCACCAGGTGATTCTTGGCACCACTAGAGCACACTGTAGTGGTTATGGTGTTTAGAATACCCCTTTACTCCTTATACATTTTAACCATTCTACAATTCCAGTGATTGCTTCACATACGCAGTGCTTTCAGGAAACATTCCCCCACCAGCAACTTCCCTGTGCCACATTTTGCAAACATTTTAACATATAAGACCAAGTAATCCGTAGGCAACCTTCAGCACTCCAGATGTTGTAGACTACACGTCCTCGATGCTTTGCTAACATTATTGCTGTAGGAGCATAACGGTTCTATAGCAGTGACTACTTTGTCTAGTTTATGTACAATTCTATTCTTATGAAGACGTCCGTAACAGTACTGCTTTTATTGCTTTGAAAATGCATACTTCTTGACTAAATACTTTGTGGACCTAATCACATTTGTTTAACAATTTGTTGTCTCATGTAGACTGCTTGTGCTATCCTGTTTACTGATTACATTTATTGGAATACAGGAACCAATAACCTGAAGACTTCCGAGGCCATCATCTTTGAGAGTGCCATGCCTCCACTGATGAGTTTTACCCAGAGCCTAGGTGATGGGATCAGAGATACCATGCCACTTGTGGCCTCTAGCACTCAAAATGAAAGGTACGCATAGGGTTTCCTGGCTCTATAGTCGAAATAAGGTTTTCAGAAATGAATTTCTTCAGACAAATCCAGATTGTTTAACCCATTAATCAAATGTCTGATGTGGCTTTATAAGTCATTTTAACCCTTTAAAACTGGGAACAATAACAATACCACCACCCCTCCAACCCCATACCAAGAGTCTGTGACTGCCATCTACTGACTGTTTTTAGTATGACAGGGATATCTCCTCCAGCATGCTACCTCTGGGAAGCTGATAAAGCCAAGCTCAATCATAATCAACTGGGGGAATGCAGAGCGGATTAAGTTTATATTTTGCATACATTTTTTTTTTTCCATAAGTTATTAAATTCATTTTCTCTGTTTTGTTGCTTTCTGGTAGTGTTTCAGCTGCCCGTCTGACTTCTGCTGTAAAGCCTCTCTGTGATATGTCTCAGTCGGAGGCAGTCATTGATATAAAACTGGATGTGGATGACCCTTTTAATGATGACATCACCTATGTAGTGGAAAGTGAACTGTATTCCCATAAGAGACCACCTGCAGTTTCCAGCTTCAGAACTTTTAGGCCAACCGCCGAGCTGTATAAACCCCCAGGCAGTGGTCAGCCTGTGTACCATGCTACCGATGGCCACATCAGCTTACACAGACAAACTCAGAATGCCCAGTCTTCAGGGAGACCCATCACCGTTCACACTAGCAGGGCGAATAGTCCGCTACGCTTGCCACGTGATCTAAGTGGCGTGCCAGAGACCTACAGGGCTGCATTCCATGCTTCCTCAAATAAACTATCTCAAGAGGTGAGTATATAAACTGCTAATTCATTACTTTGGGAACTGCCATGCTTTGGGTTTTCCAAAGTGTTTGTCTATATTTGTTGATGGTTGTCAGGGGTGTGGAAATTTAAATTTAAAAATAAATAAAATAAAAAAAATCTGCTTGTTCAAGGGATTAAGGTGGCACATAAATACAACTATTCCCCAATGCTGTTGTCATAACATTTTACCTTGGTTTTTCCATTCAGATTTAATTTGCAAAAACTTAGTAGTTTGGTGAATACTTCTGATTGTCTCGCCCTTTTATCCCCCAGTAGTCTTTTCCCTCTGTCGTCCCCTCCCATAGTGTGCATGTCTGTAATGGCTGTGTGCGCCCGTGCATCAGGTGATATGAATTCCACATCCCTGGATGTTTAGCAGCTTCATGTGTCTATTTTGTTTGCTCAAAGCATGTGTTAGAAGCGTTTATAACTTTAAAGCTGCCACTGTTGGACGCATGAAAATGCTAACTTGTGTGTTGTACGTTAAAGGGACACTGTAGGCACCCAGACTATGTCAGCTAATTGAAGCAGTCTGGGTGCTGTGACCCTTTTGCAACTAGTGCTGCAATGTAAAACATGTTTACATTGCAGCTCTAAGTCTGCCCTCTGTGGCTGTCTACCAGAAAGCTACTGAGGGCGCTTCCAGAATCTAAATAGACTTTTGGTCCGTTATCTGATGCTGGACATCCTCATGGACCTCCAGCGTCAGATTGTCCCCATAGGAAAGCATTGAATGATTTTTTTGGCCACTAAGCTTCACCACACTGGTAAACAAGTGGTAAATTTCAGCTTTGACTGGATAAAATGAGAACTCCTCTGGCAGACTAACAAACCTACATAACTGGCTGTAATGCGCTGGACAAGAATATACAGATAAAAAGGGGTAGGCAACCATCAGCACTTCAAATGTTATGGACTACATCTCCCTCAATGCTCTTACAGCCATAATGCTGGCAAAACAACTGGAGTGACAAGGGCTGCCTACCCCTACATAAGGGTCCCACTAAACACTTCTAACTTGACTGGAATTTGAAACTTCATTTGAATCGCATTTTGTAGATGAAGGGAAAGCTGTTTAGCAGTAAGTCTTGAGTCAGGAACAACACATGTTCTGATACCTGAAGCAAATCAGAGCACTTCTAACATGTGGAAGGTGATGCATTAAACGGCCTATTTTGATCTTAAGTTTCAAACTCCCCTTGTATTCTGATCATTCTCACTTTAGTGAATAACTCTGTTTTACAGTCAAAAACCTATGTTGGTGATATTCTCCCATCCCAGATCACAATCAGATTGGAAGCTCTGACTCGCAATCATACTACATCTGTATGGTTAAATTAAAATCTGTGCCCCAGTAAACTGATTTTTATTTTTTTTACCCCCTGTAAGTGCTTTAGAAATTCAAGCTGGCACTCATTGTGTTTGATATATTCCTCTTCACTTTGAAAACCTGTGTACATAGCACAAATATCGGATGTTTTCTCCAGTCCTAAGAGATACACCACCTGTCTAGTCTAGCCATTGGAAAACATCTGTGCTCAGAATTCTTACTGAACGGAAGAATGCAAGATGGCTTCTCGTCCGTTATGAAACTCACTTTTTCTTGTATTTGTTCGTCACGTGATATTTTACACTTCATTTTCAAGGAGGAAATTGCAAGGAAGAGAAAAGTTCCTATTGTTAGCTCTGTGGTGAAAATAAAAAAACGGGCAACCGGAGGAGAGGAGGAGCAGGAAGGAGACGAAGAGGAGGAGGAGGAGGAAGAAGATTATTTGTCTCACGCGGGTATTTCCAGCAGCGTATCTGTCCCTGCCAGGCAAGAAAGAAGGTACAATACACTAACGTCTGCCGTTTGTATCTCCCTTACAGTATGGTGGTAGGAATACAAATATGTATACCTGACGCTGTAGTCCTGAAGTGGGTGTTTAGGTTACAAGCCTCCCTCTGGTCTCCAGATAAAAGGTGATTTTACTCACCTTTTCTCCCTTGCCAAGCTGGTCTCGCTGTGGCTGGCTTTGCCTCAATGGCTGAGATAATCAGTCTTTATGATCTCAGTCAATCCAATGCTTTCACATAGGAAAGCATTAAGAGGCTATTGCGCATGTGCAGCAAAACCTCATAGAGATGCATTGAATCCGTTCAGCATCCCCAGTAGAGCGGGGAGACGGTGAAAGCCAGTGCTGCAGACTAGGAAGCACCTCTAGTGGCCGTCTGAGTGACTGCCTCTAGAGGTGTTACTAGGCACCAAGTTAAACACTACCTTTTCTCTGAAAAGGCAGTGTTTACACTGAAAAGCCCGCAGGGACATGCTGTAGACACCAGAAACACTGCAAGCCGTAGTGGTCCTGGTGACTATAGTGTCCCTTTAATGAACTGTGATAGAGATATTTGGCTGCAGCTGCAATGGTCCAAAAGGTCCTACTTGCAGTAGTATTTGCACATAATATTTTGAATAACAAATCTTTACGTCCATTGTCATGGCGATCAGCTGACAATGTCAAGCGGAAAGCAAACTGATTGTGTTTTGTGATTCGTTTTTTACAGAGAGAGGATATGGTGTAAAAGGCAGTAAAAATATTGTACAAAAAAGCCGCTATCTAAAATGTAAACAGCGTACAATGCGAATGATTACAATGAGAGAGCAGACCCCTATCACTCCAAATATATATGTACGTTATTCCACATAATTGAATGTCCTACACACAAAGCCCATTCCATTTGTATGGAGATAGATGCCCTAATGTACTTGCTTTTATAAGCCTCAGGTTCCTATTGAGAGAAGCTCTCTGCAACCTGATATTTAATACAAAAGATTTGGTCTTTGGTAGAAGGATGTATTATCTTTTAGTTGGTGACGTCCCATATCCATGATGACATCTGCTTTTCTGTATGGTGGCACGTTAGGAATAAGTGCTAGTGTTCTAGATTATAGTACTAAAGTTATACAGGTTTCTGGGAACGGAATCACTGAACATATTTATCCAGTTTGACCTTGCTACACATTCCTTTTAGACTTCTGTGTAATGATCCACACGTATATATACTCTATATATGTACTGTGTGTAAAACGGAAGTTGTTCTATTAAAACTACAGTAAAATGCATACATATATCTGTTAATATTCTGCATGTCAGTATGCTGGTGCTATATAAACGATGATGATGATGATGATAAAAAAAAGCCTTAATGACTCTATAAAATAATAAACCCTTAATTAGTCTTGCAATATACTAATGAAATAACTTGGCAAGATGTAAGCTAATGCATTTCAAATATAAACAAATGGTCCTTATTACAATATACAAATCTAAGACCTAAAATAACTGTTCACATAAATAAATAAAAAATGTTTGAGGGGAAAACTGCTTTACAATGTTCTAAGCTGCCTTCTGCTTGACAATATTTTCGTCATGTCATGGTGCCGCTGGTGCAGTCTTGGGCATCTAACAGAGAAATGCCGTATACCCATGTGTACACTTTGCATTTTGTCCATCTGTGCTGCGTTTGTTTCAGAGATTGTATCATGTATAATTTAAAGAACTATAGAATGTCCTTCCATCATCTGATAGCTCTGTGTCACTCTCTTTCCAAACCTACTTACCTGTGTTAACTAATGCATAGGTTTCTATCGCTGTAACTTGAGATGTATATTTAATATATATTTGCCTTCTTTTCAGGCCGACACTTCCTCCTTCAAAACAGGCAAACAAGAATCTCATTCTAAAGGCCATTTCAGAAGCCCAGGAGTCTGTGACGAAAACCACCAATTATTCCATAGGTAACCTATGCAAAATCTCGATCTATATCTTTCTTTATTTTATTACATTCACGTTTTTAAAGGTACATGGTCTGTCTTTCTCTTCTTGTCTTTGTCCCAGCAAAGCTTAAAAGAACACTCAAGGCAATAACACACCATAAGTGCATTTGATAAGCTTTGCTGTATTTTTTTTCTTCACACTCAAATCTTTTAGTTTTGCTAAAAAAAAAAAGAAATTAAACTTTTTTTTTTTTTGCATTGTAACTTCCCCTCTTTTCACATAGCAACTTTTTATTAAATGCACTCCTGAGCATGTACACGACTCTTCCAATGAGGGAATAATGTGCGTTGAGCTACAGGCATGACTCTGCCCGACAGCCAATCACTGTTTTTCTATTATCTGTCCATATCCCCTTAGCATGGCTTTGATATGAGGGACATATAATAAGAGGGCAATGATTGGCTGTGGTGCATGTCATCAATTCTGCTCATATTGATCCCTAGTTGGCTGAGCTTCACGGTTTACCTTCCAATCAGGAAGACCACTGCAGTAAAGGGGCAGTGTAGGTAGCTATGGTGGGTTTCTGCTGCAGACAATTGCAATTTATTTTTTATTGTTGAAAATAATTGAAGATGGAAAAAAAACTTAAAGAAACCCGATCAGAAAAAGGAGTTCTGCCCCCTCCCCCCTTTAGGAGCGAAGTTTAGATTAGTGCTGCAAAAATGTTTAGTTTTTTAAGTTCTTTATATTCTGCTTTCTATATTTTTTATTATGCATACTAATTGGTAATATTAAAAGAACACTATAGCATTAGAAATACAAATGTGTATTGTTAATGCTATAGTGCACTAATCGCCACTTAGGTGACCAGGCCCCACTGGCGAGTTTATCTACCTTTTCTTCCTCGTAACACTGATCTCAGTCATTGCACTCTGCCTCTGTGTGAGATTATCAAGATCGATGATCTCAGCCTATTCAGCGCTTTCCTACAGGAAAACATTGGGAGGCAAGGGTGCATGCACTGCAAGACACTGTGCTCTGCCAATCAGATGGTCTCTCTGAAACGTTGTGGGATACTAGGTATCTCTTTCTTCTGTCAACCGTTATTAGGAGACGTAAAGCACTGCAGAATAAGCTGGCGCTATATAAATACCAATAATATGAATTAAACGGTCAACAAAGTATTTTTTTATATAGGCTTTCCTTTTTCGTATTTTTGTTTTGTTGTTTGTTTTTATGTATTTTTTGATATGTGACTGACTATATGAGAATATTGACATTTATAGTTCTTGAGTTTACTTTGAATTGCCTGTTTTGGGCTAGATTAGTGAACCTAATATGTAATACTTGCTTTTATTATAATTACATGCAATAAAGATTCTTATTTTTGCACTTGATGTGCATTGGTATTTTTTTCACATTGTAGTTCTTACTTTTGACCACTAAAAACTGGTCCACCCTATATTTGCACCCATTAATGGATTACATATTTGTACAAAGTTGTATGCTCCTATACATATTAATGAGGATAACATGCAGAATACACACTCGCTTTTATTAATAGTTGCTCTATAATAGGTTAATGTGTTTGTGTTTCCCCCTTCTGTGTTCCACAAAGCTACAAAAAAGCAAATGGTACCTGTCGCCCCAAGGACAAGGTTGTTATCTGAGGAAGAGCTCAAATTGTTGAAGAGTCAGCCATCTATGCTACATTACCAGACAGAGATGGAACAAGTGCCAGGACAGATAGCAGAAACAAGACGAGGTATGGACAGATTGCACAGCACTTATCGTACTTCATTCTAGGATATTAACTATTTAATGTTTCTTTACTTTGCCCTTAAAGGGTAAAAGGATCAATAGTGAAAAAGTACATGCAACATATGTCCGCTGTAGAGACTTGTAGTACTTCCACACCATCGTTAATTAGAGTCTGTATGCTACACGTAATTAATGACAGTTGTCATCCTCCGCTACAATAATTGCAAACGGGAGCTACATATCCTTCCAGCAAAGGAAGGAGTCTGTATGTTAAATGTAAAATAGCACATGGCCTGTTGGAACATCACTAGGTCATTTTACTTAACTGTGAATGGAGGACAACTGGGCGATGCAAATATTAAAGCAAAATAGCCAAGTTAGAAAACCAAATGAATTTGATAACTTCTGTTTTTTATCTATTTTGAATTCCAATTTCAATCTAATTGTTCCACAATTCACGGTTTATTGACTTCTCTTTATGTTGCATAGCTGTGTGTGCGCGCATTGTTGTACCCCCACATTGCCACGTGTGGCATCCCACAAATAATACCTCACAGAGTTCTGCATTTAAGACCTTAATGCCATTCTCCATCAGAGGGATTTAAAATCATTTGTTCAAAAACAAAATTATATTTGGACATCATGTGCAGAGGGGCACAAAAAGGGAGACACTAATGTGTTTTGTGCTGTTCAGGGCACTTCCTCAGAGGGTAGCATCTGCCACAGCACTATTTAATGTTGGCATTCACTGATGCTTAGCGAGCGCCTTCCATTGTGGGATACACTCATTGTAACGGATCACCTGGCACCCCGACTGGGTACCTCCGTTGAAGGATGCTCCTAGCGCTTCCTGAGGACTCCAAGCACTGCAGCAGACACCACAATCACCGAACCGGAGAAGCGTATACCTTCTCTCAAGCATATGAATGCTGTAGACAGTTGAATAGGAACCATACAAATAGGTTTACTCTCCTTGCAGTCAAACTGGAACAGCATACAATGAATCCTTCCCCCAATAATGAGACGACACTTCACTTTGAGGGTTAAACAGGAACTCCCTGTACTGTCACATACAGTCTTTTATTCCCAATCCACAAACATAGTACAGCCCACAGGGCGTTACAAAACAGCCAATCAATCCATACAATACACCCAGACACTCCCACACAAAATCCTCCCCTCTGGCTGTGATATGATTACTGAACACAATGGGTAATCTAATTATCACAGCCAAAGAAATACAGTTTCATAAAACACATCACAGGGACCCCAAAACATGCAATAACCCCATAAAAAGTATATCATTGGAACTGGGGGATCTGGGTGAACCACATATCCAAAATTCACCCAGATCCGTTCAGTACTTTGGAAAATACAGTTTAATGCAGATTCTGCAGAACATATACAGGCTAAATAAAAAACAATCACTGTATAATGTGTCCCCTGCTGTATAGTCCAAAACCACCGCACGATGTCTCTGTGCAACAAATACTGGCGAGATGGCACCGTGTTGAAAAGTCCACACAGTGTCTGTGAGTTAAAATGGCCGCCATCCATTGTTCTCACCATGTGCTTCTGATACAGGAAATGGTGGCCACCCAGTAACTCCACAGTATGTCCCCAGATGGTTCTTAAAAGGGCTAGCAGCAGCACAACACAAATCCATTATGCCCAAATCATGTCTTTAAAGGGCAATACATCCCAGGGGCCATAGTCATATGGCAGGAGGCTGGCAACCAGGCTTCTCCAGTGCATAGTGGCGAGGTTGGTTCCGCCACACTCATGCACCCATTCCCTGCAACTGCTAAGGTGTTTAAAGTTCAAATTATAGGACTGGAATTGACGAATTTGCTTTGAATCTGAGAGGCAACTAAAAATGTTAGGAGCCAGGTTTTTTTGTTTTTGTTTTTTTTACTTTGTTTAAAAGTAACAAAACTTAATTTTTAGAGATAAAAATAAAATTCTTATAGGGACACTATAATCACCAGAACCACCACAGCCTAATGTTGTGGTTTTGGTGTCTATAGCCTGCAGGCTTTTTAATGTAAACATTGGCGAAAAGGCAGTGTTTACATTGCTGTTTAGTAACTGCTCTAGTGGCAGTCACTCAGCAGACATGTTCAGCGTATCCACGTGCTGCATGGAGGCGCTGAATGTCCTCCATAGAGATGCATTGATTCAATGCATTTTAATGAGGAAATGCTGTTTGCCGCGCATGCGCAGTAGCCTCCCAATGCGTTTCTACAGGGAAGCAGTGGATTGGCTGAAATAATGATTACTTATCTCGGCCACGAAGCAGAGACCTGCATGGCTTGGGATAAAAGGTGAGCAAAAACACCTTTCTCGTGCAATCGGTGCAGGGGGCTGGTTACCTAAACACACACACGCACACTCCCACTCATGCAGACACACATTTTTTCATACACTCACAAACTTTTTTTTATTTTATTTTTTATTTGAAGGCACCCAGCCTCCCTACCTTTTGGGACAGCTGGATTGGGTTCCTGTGTGGCTGCTGTAATACTCAAGCTGTAATACCCCAGCCGGACAAAATTCTTATTCACCATGGCGGCCTGACGTCTGGGATTTGTCGAGCCATGTTATAGGATAGAAATTTGCTAGTAATTGGGCTTTTCTGCTTCATATAGTGTAATCGTGTGCCTTCTTAAAAATAAGCTATAATAACAGTAAAGCTGTAATATGTATTACATAAACCATATAGCTACTGCTCCTGTCCCCATGCAGGGCAACCATGAGGGATATTTACAGGGTATTAAAGGGTTAAGGTTCAATATCACAGTTGAATTTATTGGAGTGGGGTAGCAGTGCTGGAGTATTTGAAGTGTAGTTGTTACGTCCATTGAAATGCTTTTCATAATGTTTGCTGTGCTCCAACAACAGCTTATAAGTGCCTTACTTGTACTTACAACAATGTCTCTTAAGATTTAGACATATTGGTCTTTTTTTTCCCATTTTATTTTTATTTTTTTAAATAGTTTGAGAAGTGCTAGTTTTATAAGGAGTGTTGTGTAATTTTGGAATAATAAGATATGGAAAGGGGCCATTGGCCCTGTAAGAGTAGCAGGAGGTAAGTTGAGATGTCTGATGACCGAGCACTGCAGATGTGAGGAAGTTTTAGAAGGGACTTTGCTGGCCCAACACATGGTTTTTGTTTTCCCTCCAGACCTGGACTTGCCTGGCCAGGCTGCCAATCTTTGATTAGTATATGTGCCAACCATCAGACCATTCCACTGTTTAATTCTCTGCATCCTACTCCATTAAACTGTGTTTTGTTTTAGTTTTGTTTTTGTTCATTGTCTTCTCCTGGCCTTTTGCTCAGGGAACCAGCACAGAAAGGATTTGCTTTCCAGGCTTCAGCCGGACCCAGAAGAGGAGGCTATGCTCATAAGACCAGGTTTGTTATTCCTACGTTCGACGGGCATCTTTTCTTAACATTCTGATTGGAATCTGAACTTAAAATACAAAATTAACTTCATTTTTTAAAGGAGATCTGTGTAGTTTTAAAGCTCTGAGCTTATGGTATACATCTGTTTATACAGAAACTTAACAAGCAAGATAAAGCATTTTAACATCTCCTCTTTATTCCCCTGGCGCACCAGTCTCGACACTGTTTCTCTTCTGGCTGAGATAATCATTACTGATGATTTCAGCCAATTCAATGCTTCCCCACAGGCAAGTATTGGAGCTACTCGAGGTAGCCTTAGGGACATTGATACTACTGTTTACAATTGTCAGACTGCATGAACAGACTCCTTGCACTAGAATCACTTGATTAAGCTGTAGTGGTTCTGGTGTATGGTGTCCCTTTAAAATTGAAGAATGGGTCACAAAACTAATCTCCTAAACATATTTTAGAACCGTGTTAAAAATGTAAAGAACCACTAAGTCATATGGTTACACCTCCCACTGGCCTGAGTTGAATTGGAGGGCGAGGGTCAGTGGACAACAAGGTTCAGTCCGCTCTCCAGGAGAATATTTCATTCATAAATGGTGGGCAGACTGGTTTGTCCAGAGATGAGTTGCCTGTTGTACACTGATGCTGCCCATTTGGACTCTAGCTGTAAGTTTCTTTTATTGAGCATTGCACATATTTCTATTCATGCATAATGTTGGAGTGCTTCTTTAAAATGCTGTTTGTATAGTATATTGATTAGGATAGTAGTATAGACATGCTTCTGTGATGTGTGGAATTCCATTCTGAATTATGTATATAATTATCTAGCTTTTTTATATTTTTATTATTCCATAGAGCCTGTGGATGCAGAGAGACTCAGACCCACAGACAGTAGATCCTTTATTCTTAAAAGGCCAAAACTCTCCAAGGACCCGGTAAACGAGGTCCAGTCCCAGCAAGGGCGTCTTATACAGCCCAGGTAAGAAGTGCGATCTTGGAAACTCTGTGTTGCTATTAAACTAATTTTGGTAACTGAAACGTCATATAGTTATAGTTGTTTTTTTGATGGCTACCATCCATTTTAAGCTTGAAAGCCTTCGTTTTACCAATTACTATGTACACCACATGCAATAACAGAACACTGATTCCACACGACATGGCTTGGGAACACTCCTGGCAAGACCCATGCAGAATGAACCATGCACAGAGTCCGGCCAGAAAGTTGAACTGCTCTCATGAGAACCAAACCATTGTCTAGTTTTATATTAAATGTTCAGAAGGTACTGGGAACACCATGTATTTTCCCAGTTAACTTTGAACAAGGCAGTAATCATGTTTTTGGTATTCGTGTATTAATTATCTCTGTGTATGTTTGTTCTGAACAGGGAAACTTCTTCTGAAAAGCCAGGAAGCCCCAAGTTTATTGTAACTTTAGATGGAGTTCCTAGTCCACCAGGATATGGGTCTGGTCATGAATCTGAGGAAGACAAGATGAGTGTCACAGAGGAATGGGAAACCTACCCGGAGTCCTGCAACCCACTTAGCAGGCCAGAGCAGAAATATACGATGCAGCTGATAACAGAAAATACCCCCAGGACAGGTTGTAAGTGTCCTTGACAATTTGTAGGAACCACCATTAGTGTGGTAACTGCCGAGTGACCATGCATTAATCAATCATGCACATCACATGCCAATTTTAGCTTTGTATTTCTTTATAAAATGTATCTTCTATTGCCAGATTATAATATGTTTGCAAGGGAGCTAACAAATGCATGCCATTATTCAACACATATTGGACAAGTTTTTGACTATTGTATCTTGAGTACTTTGTGTGGAACCAGAGTATAGATTTCATAAATATTTGTATTTTATGTCCTTAGTGTTAATGGACGTAGATGGTATTTCTGCCCTGGAGAAGATGCATGAACGCTGCAGATATTGGCCTGCATGCAAGAATGCAGAGGTCTGTGTTTATCATCACCCAACCGTGCCATGCAAGTAAGTGTCATTTTTTTTTTTTTTTTTTTGCTTAACCCCTTAAGGACACATGACATGTGTGACATGTCATGATTCCCTTTTATTCCAGAAGTTTGGTCCTTAAGGGCTTAAAGTAAGTTTGGTTTGGACTTGTTGAAGGTCTTTTGATTGTTTTGTTTTTTTGTTTTGTTTTTTTTAAACTAAAAAAAAATCATTCAGCTGGAACTGGTCTCTTCATTTAAAACCCCCCACTAATTTCCTGTGTGTGAATGATCCAATTTCAAACTGTAACCAAAAAAAAAAAATAGAAACAACACCACTTCAACCGCTCAAAATCCACAGGAGGTTTAATTGGCACAAAACAAAAAGTAACAAACAAGAGATAAAGGTCTAACTTTTTCAGTAGTGAACTGAAGTCACAAGCAGAGTGCATATACATACGGCAACAAGATCTCTCCGTAATATAGTGACAGCTATCTCAAAGAGAAGAGATACAATAATAGTGTAATATCACAACAAAGTGGAATATTCTATTATAAAAGCACTCTCACACTTTCATGAGCTACTGAGAGCTCTGCTGTATTTAGCATGGACAGTACCATTCCTGTCTAAGGATATACGGTCTTAGCAAGTATGTGAAATCAAGAATAGAAAATACCCGTTGGTACAGTAACTATATGTAGAGTAAAAGTAGGTGGGGATTATACCACCAAAGCTCTACAACACTAGAGCAGGTCCATGCTCTGCTTCATGTAAATAGGATACCTACTTTTACACTACATACTGTACCAGTGGGTATTTTCCATTCTTGTTTCCAAATACTTTACGGTCTGTAGAACATACCATCACTACTGCTGAGACCATATATCCTTAGACAGGGATCATACTGTCCACCCTAAATACAGCAGAGCTCTCAGTTGCTCAAGAAAGTGTGAGTGTGCTTTTAGAATATCATTATACACCACTTTCTTATATTACACTATTATTGTATTTTTCTCTCTTTTTGAGATATCTGGCACTATATTACAGAAAGAGCTTGTTACCATATGTATGTGTATGCATTCTGCTTGTGACTTCGCTTAAGGGTCAAACTTTTTCAGGCGCGGTTATCTATTGTTTGTTTCTTTGTATTGTCACAAGGTTAGGGAATTGCTTGTAGATTTACTGCTGCCATCTATACAGTGTATAGTGAGCACCTATATTTGTATTTCTAAACCAGGGGGGATGGTCACACCTAATACATTGCAGATCTACAAGTCCATAAACAGAGTAGTCTGTTTCAAACTGTACTTACCAGTTCAAGAGGACTATTATCAACATTTTGCTACAAATCACTTCTATGATGGACTAGCTGTTAAAGTGATGGGTGACAAAGGAGTCAATTGATAGTTCATGAATTTCCATTTTGTTTGGAAGATGAATAACTCGAATGTCTGCCACCCGGACTAACCTCTTGGTGACTGGATACCAATAGAATACGAGCAGAGAGGGTGCGAATGCCACAATTGTTTCCAATGTAAAATCTACACTCATTTCAGTTTAGTTTTTGTTTTTAAACTCCCTCTCTCATTTTTCACACAGGGCTTTTCCGAATTGTCGGTTTGCTGATAAATGTTTCTTCATCCACCCTAATTGTAAATATGATGCAAAGTGTACCAAAGCAGAATGCCCTTACACACACGCCAGCAAGCGTATTGCTGTGCCTCTAAAACCAGGTAAAATATCTGTGCTTGCATCACTCTTATTTCATTGCAAAATTACTGAGGGTGCTTTAAAAACATTAATAATACTTTAAAAAAAATATATTTTTACAGGTACACCACCTGCCACCCAAAAACCCCAAACCTGCCGGTTCTTTCCCGTTTGCAAGAACACAGAGTGCACTTACTTTCATCCTAAGGTAACTTCCACTAATACGAGCACAGATATTCCAGAATATTGATTGTAATGCTCCACACGGCTGCACATGTGCATTGTTTTGTTTCTAATGGTTTTATATGGTTTCCTCCCCCTCCCCACTCTCAGCTTTGCAGATTCAATACACAATGCACACGACCAGACTGTAAATTTTACCACCCTTCAGTTGCTGTGCCACCACGCCATGCCTTGACCTGGACACGATCACAGGCCAGGTAAGTCTAGTTAGTTTTGTTTTCTGGTTTGTCTTTTTAATTTAAAATAAAAAGTTGGTACTCGGATATCTTGATTAACCCCTTAAGGACCAAACTTCTGGAATAAAAGGGAATCATTACCTGTCATGTGTCCTTAAGGGGTTAAAGCTATAAGATGCAGCCATGAAAGGGACAGTCCAAGCACCAAAACCACTACATCTTAATATAGTGGGTTTGGTGTACAGATGCTGATCCCTTTTCTCAGATAACGCAGTTATAGAAATGCTATGTTTACATTTGGCGCCACCCTTTGTCAAATGTAAGAAAAATACATACATTCCTACTTTGTCTTATTTTTTAAAGAGAAATAAATCAGACATAAAGAACAGATTCTGCAAGCAGACCCAAAAGACAAGTTTGAGGTGACAGTTCCACTTTTACTGGCTTTCAAACAGATGGTTCCTTCTAATGTACTTTGGAATTTGAAGTTCCTTGTTACACAGAATGGACACTTCATGCTGGAAGCGATAACTATTTTGTTTAATAATTTAGACCCTCATTAAAATATATCCTTTAGATATTTTTTCTTTCATTTTCAAGTCCCTGCAACTTGCAAATCCTCGGCTAAGTAGGAGCTCCTCTTATTCTGACCTATAGTGTCTGAACATATTCCATAAACTCCGGTCCAGGAGAATTTGGGATATGTAGTCCTGACCGTGGCAGGGCTTCAGTTTCACTTAATTAATTGATCATATCATGGCTTTCAGATTTTTGACCTCATCGTTCAGTTTTGTGAGAGTAGCTGTACATAGATCGCTGAATTATGTGACCACCCATTCACACAGCACTGAGTCAAGTTCTTTGGACCAAGAGGAAGTTTAGATTTCCCCTTCTCTGAATTCTGGGAAAGTCTGGTTTTTTTTTAACAAATTTTATTTCCTTAAGGTTTATAGAACCTATGGCAGCTTTTGGAGAAACAATCTGTGCTTAGAACTGAGAACCTCTTGTATTGGTGGGGGTGGGGTTTGGGGAGGCGGCTATATTTGACCTGTATTACACTGTAAACCGGGATGCTGAAAGTAAATGTATTAATTTAGTGCATGGATGGGCAACCTCCGGCATGCCAGATGGTTGTGGACTACATCCCCCATAATGCTCTTACACCCATAATGCTGTCATAGCATCATGGGAGGTGTAGTTCAAAACATCTGGGAGTGCCGAAGGTTGCCCATGCTTGATTTAGCAGGAGAAGTAATTTATCATTAATTCCTGAGAATGCAGTATTGTGTTTAAAGTACCCGCATACTCCATAGTGTTGTACATTAAAGTGTTACAAACATGGTGAGCAAAAACCAAGAACTAAAACAATCATTCAGACTAGGGGTATGCAACCTGTGGCACTCCAGGTTTTGTGGATTACATCTCCTCTGGTGCTTTACCAGCATTATGGGAGATCCAAAACAATGGCAGGAATATTGGTGTATTAATGTGTAACAAATTTAGACAAGGTACTTGAGCTGCATTTTGGACCTATCAAATAAATATTAAATATAGAAATTCTATAGATTGTCAACTCTCATGTTTCATTATCCATTTATTTTAAATCCTACAGCTATTTTAGCCCCATCATAAGGAGGTATTTTCTGAAGTCAAGAATGATACCCAATTTCCCCCCAAAAAATCTGAAGTGAACTCTACTACTCTTGACTCTCATACTTGTTTAATATAAATACTATATAAAAAATTATAATATGGTGTTTAATGTGAAAAGCAGCTTCCACGAGGGCACACTGTAATATGGATGGATAAATGTTAACAGGAAAATCTCTCTTCCAACCTGATTTTTGTGTGTTTTTTTGTACTAAACATATACATGGTGTTAAGGTTTGCTTTTTTTTTTTTTTTTTAAATACATATTTATATAATTGTGTTTTGTTTTTTCCGTTTTTTTTAGTGATTGATTCTGCACATAGAAAGAAACTGGAAAATGGTCCAAATCGCTGGCACGATGGACTTCAGTTGAGTTTGGGGTTTTTTTTCGGTGCACAGACTTTCGGAAATATACACTGTCATTTTGGTTGTTTTTATGAATCTTTAGTTTTTATTTAAAAACTATAAAACAGTTTTTTTTTTACTTTGCTGAATGGATAATACCTGAAAAAAAAGAGTTAAACATTGAACTGGACAATCAGTACTATTTTCAACCTGTTGTGTGACTGTCCTACACAATACATTCATTTTTTTTTTTTTTTTTTAAATATAGCTGCTTTGTTATAGTTTGTTTGGAATGAGTCAATGGTCAGATTTTATTACTTGAGGACTATTAAGAGATATGAAGAACAATTCTTAAGGTATATTTTATTTACCGTACATGATTGATAAACCTGGCAAACGGAATACTGATATGCTGAGAAAAGAGACATGTTTATCCTTAAATGAACCCTGTAGGGTCAGGAACACAAACCCTATAGTGTTAAACCCACCATTTAGATTGCTTGCCCCACCTCAGCCCCACTCACCTTATTTCCAGCGTTGCACGGTTCTGCCAGTGCTGGCCCCTCCCCTGATCCACCTTCTCGATGACATCAGAATTGACCATTTTTTAGCCAATCCGGGAAATCATTGGATTGGCTAAAATCGGCTAATCAGCACTTCATCATAGAGATACATTGACTCAATGCATTTCTATGAAGAAAATTCAGCATCCCCATGCAGAGCGTGGATACGCTGAACTGCAGTGCTGCCTACTGTGCAGCACTGCCCTAGGAAGCATCTCCAGTGGCCACTTGGAGGTTTCCCTAGGGGCAATGTAAACACCGCCTTTTCTCTGGTAGTAAGTAAACAGCTCAGAACCAGCAGTGTATTGCTGACACGAGGTAGCAATGTACACATTTCTATATGCTTGTGCTATTTAACTAGTTCAGCTGGAAGGTAAAATTATCCACATTGCAAAACTGACACTTAATATTCACTTGATTAATTACAGCAAGCATTTTTAATTGTCCTTTTGAGCAGATGTTTAAAGTGTGCACCCATTGCTGTAGATTTGCACTTCTAGAACTTTATTAAATTATTGCCACATCTCAGGTAACAGGAAATTAGGAATGAGTGCACATCCAGCATATGTTCCTCTTTCCTACACTAGCGTGCATTTTTTTTTTTATATATATAATTCTGTGGCAGTTGCAAATGTCTAGTGTATATAAATATTCCGTAGCAATGAAACTAAAAGTTTTTTTTTTTTTAAACTGCAAATAAAATACTTGATTGATATTCAATGATTCAGTTCTAGAACTAGCTATATAATTGGGATGCTTAGAAAATCCAGACTATGACTGTAGACATTTGTCTTTAAGTATTAATGCCATCCTTTGGCTATCTGAAGTTTTGGGAGGTATGTGGCTGTTACATTTGCTAACTTTAAAACAAAAATCCTGTTTGTTTTACTGGCACCTCTGATGTACATATAAATACATGGCAAATGAGTTTTCATATTCTAAAATGATTAGTAAGCATGCATTTACTGGACCTATATGTATTTGCATTCTGCCCTATCAGGCTTGAAAGAAGGGCTGGCGCATCCTATAGGCGACTTAGGCAATCGCTGGGGGGCGCAAGTTCCGAATGACCCGGCAGGAGGGAAGCACACAGCGCTCCCTCCTGCCAGTCACTCTGTGTAGCGTGGCCTGGCGGTGCAGACCGCGATACAGGAGATTGTTTCCTGTACCTGGCCGGACTGTAAGGAAGTGCTCTCTCAGTGAGCACTTCCTGTCAATCTGGCCGGGTACAGGAAAAACTAGCTCCTGCACCGCGGTCTGCGCCGCCTGGCCACGCTACACTGAGGTAGGAGGCACAACGGGGATGGGAGGGGAGATGGCACAAAGAGACAGAAGAGACCACTAAGGGAGGGGGGCACTAAGACACTACACACATACACAATGCATGCCTACACACACGCACCGAAACATACAATGCACATCTCACAAGCACACAATGCATTATATATATATTATACACACACACACACACACTGGTATCCCTATACACTACATCCTCTACAATAACACATCCCCTTCACACATACACTCCATTCCCTTTGAACGAACTCATTTGTGGGTCTTGTAGGCATAAGGCTTATGGCCGCGCCTTGTAGACCTACTCATGGTCAGGCCCTGGGTGCCCAGACTGTGATCTGTGTAAGGGGAGTAAAAACGGAGCTGCTTCCTGTTTGTTTATTTTTGTGAGCCAGACTGCAGCCTGAGCCCATGATCATCCTATTGTCCTCATCTGGTGGTAAGTAGGCAATCCAGTATATTATTAGTGGCACTAATCTCTTATTTACCTCACATTAAAGGGACACTGTAGTCACCAGAACTTATTGAAGTGGTTCTGGTGGCTATAGCCTGTCCCTGAGGCTTTTTAATGTAAACACACTGCATTTTCAGAGCACTGGCATTGGCTCATACGGCAGATCACATCGGTGGGGCATTATATCATCATATCGTAGGGGGGCGCGGCAAATTTTTGTTTGACTAGGGTGGCAAAAATTCTTGCACTGGTTCTACCTGGAAGGGCTGCACCGTAGTATATGGTATTCATGACCTCCCAGTGTCATGCTCAGGAAGTGGGTTTTTTTGTTTGTTTTTTGTTCCAATAGATTTTTTTTTTTTTTATAAGGAGCTTATTAATACCATATATGACTGGGCAGCACGTTCAAGTCCTGCTTGACAGAACCTAGAAATCCATGGAGTCCCACAAAAAAAAAAAACATACAGAGTTATTCATGAAACAACAATTTTTTCAAATTTTTTTTTTTACCAGTTACATATCCGGTTTCACGCTCGGATTAGATTATTGAGCTTAGTGAATAACCCTGTGTCAGTATGTCATTGGGTGGGGTTTTGTAGAAATTGACAAGGGAATTTCTAATTGTAAACTCATACATTTCTCTCTAACAAGAGTAGAATAAAAGGTTTGCTAAACATTTTTTAAACATAGAGGCATACTTCTTTTGTTTTTGTCTTTTTTTATTTATGAATGAATTGCTGTATTCCTTTTCTAACTTCTCTATATTGTTTTTGGCACATCCCAGTGGGTTTTAAGGTCATGCAAAAGACTTTAAACAATGCTTATCGAAAACCTGACTCCGTAAATCGCGTCCCTCAGTTTACAGGGCAGTAAAACCAAATGACACTGGTACTCTGTAGGCTGATAGGCTCTTGTAAGTGTGAACATCAATATAATTTTTGCCGAATGTATTTGATGCTGGGGTTGCACATCATATCACTTAAATGGCACCCCCACCCCTATAAATGATACTTCAAACTACCATAGTGTGCCATGTTCATCCCAGTCTTTAAGGCACGCTTACCGATCTAGGATTTAGGGGTTACCCTGTTGAAGTCCCTAAAACCTGGACTTGTATGTGTGCCTTGATGACTGGTTTGAAAACCAGCGCTTTAAGTGCTAAAAACTGTGTATAAAATGCATGTTTTTTTTTATAAAACAAATTCTCATAAACTGAAAAGGGTGCGGCAACTTTGTGAATAAAAACTGTTATTTTGGACTAAAATGCAATTCCTAGTCAGATTAGTCTTTTTTGGTAATTCTAGAATTTTAAAATCTCCCCCCATAACCTTTGCTTTCTAGTTGATACCACAGCAGCAACACTCAAAAATATCCATAGATATGGGAAGAGCTTGTAAGAAATTATATTTATATTGATTTTAAGAGTAAATGCACCCATAATCCCCTTCAGTGACCATCCCGATGAGTTACAGGATCGAAGGGGTTAAATACACAACTTAACAGACAGGATAACATCTTCATAATACAGGCGTACAGTTCAGAAAGAAGAAACAAGCAACACATACATACATATGGCATCCTCAGCATTAAACGAACAGTTCAACTTACAAGGCAAATACAGGAGTTGTTAGACTTTGGGAGTGTAGGGAAGGCACTCGCAAAATGTGAGCCACATCCCGTCTGGCACAGCTACTCGAGGTGCATGTCACTGGTGCAGTTGCTATAGCACAGTACTGTCAGTTTCTGTAACAGGAATGTACCCAAGACCCCTCCGCATCTCCTTTTACTTCTTGCTTGTTTGGTATTTCCAACTGGCCTAGTGACAGACGAGCCAGTCTGACAAGCGATCTGTAATACTGTGCTGGAAAAAAAGTCTGCTTTGGATTCTAAAACTCATCAGTACTTAGAGACAGACGGGCCCGTGGCTTTAACCAATGCGGTCTCCAGATAAACTTGCTTGAAGACTTGCCTTGCTGTGCGCATGCCTGTCTCTGGCCCTCGAATTATGCTGACAGAAGCTCAGGGCTGGGTAGATCCGCACTGTACCTTCTCCGTGACTCTGCATCACCTGTGTTACCTTGCAGACTCAGAGAGAATCCCCAATCTCGCCTGCCCCGTGTCATGGGCGGAGTCCTGCTTTGCAGATTGGATCTTGTCAGTGCGGCATGTGCACACATTTCCATACGAACAAGCTATAGTGGTTAGGAGACAATATCATTGTTTTAGTATTTAATAAGTTAAGCAGCCTGTAATATAATCAGTGCCAGTATAAGTACATATAGAAAATTCCCCTCTCTGTCTCATTAGAGATATCTTTGCCAGAGACTCAAGGGAGGTTTGCTTTGACGTGGCAGGTGGGCATTCCTTCTAATGGCCATTGGAGTAACTAAATAACCTCCATTTGTTTAAATACACAGAGGGATTTGGGAAGAGGACAGGTAACTTTTTTTCTTTTTTTACTGTATGTATTGGAACTGATGTGTACTATGGTCGTTGCTGCTGCCCGAGAGTAGTGGGAGTTTGAGTGCAGCAATAGTTTTTTTTTATTTTTATTTGTAGATGGCAGACAGGAGCTGTATAAACTTGTTTATCACAAGTATGTCTGATCGCTCTGCACTGCTTCCTGTGCAATCAGAGGCTGCAGTCAGGAAACCTAGGACCAGGTGCCACCGATTAGAGAGCTAATAAGCTCTCAGCCTCAGTATCTTTCAAATCCATTTTCTGAATGGGGAGCTTGTGATAGACTGTGAACATCAACTGGAGTCTCAGCCACATCAGCTGTGCCCGGAGTGTTCCTTTAGCTGCAATAAGCAAAGCAGCCAGCCTGAGTGTCCCTATAAAGTCTAGTTTTAAGTGTAATAGAACCAGTAACTGTTATTAAAGGAAAACTAGCTTTAGGAATACAAAACTGTATTCTTAACACTATAGAGTCCCTCTATCTTTTCCATTAGGTTCCCCCCTTCCATCTAGAGATTTAAAGGTTAAAAACATTTTTTAACTCCACTTAGTATTCTAACATTAATTTTGCAATCTGGCTTCAAGTCACTTCACTTTGGTGTTTAGTGCATAAAGCCAGGAAAAAGATTAATCAGATTCTGAATTCAGAGCATCCTTTTACAAGATCCTTGAAAGGAACACTCCATACATTCTAACCACCATTAATTATGTAAGCACATTCATTCTTACCTGCAGTCATCTCCTCCAGCACTGACAACGTACCGATCTGCACTGGTAAAGCGAATATTGGTCAGATGGGCCGAATGCCCCAAGAAGCGCTTGTGTTTAGCCTGGAAAAAGTGACACATTCAGGAACAAGAAAGAGAAATCTCATCCTATATCTTGTTTATGGCAAGACAACACTGTTCATCTCCAGTCTGGTAACTAGAATATTTTGTTTTCAATCTGAAAATGGTTATTAAATTACACAGGAGGTTCTGTATAGTGAAACAAGCACAATGGACACCCAATGTGTACATGGTGATTGCTTGATTTTTAGAATCTTGTACCAGGACTGCTATTTATCTGTCTCTCAATAGTTCTTGCCAAAGTTAAACGATTACTGTATTCCAACAAGCCTTTTCTTTCCAGCATAGCATGTTGCTGGACCTGTGTTATAATGTCTCCTGAAGGCCCAGCAAACTATATATGACACAGAGCAAAAATATCATCACTTTATGCTATCCTATTTTACATAAACCTATCAATTGAGTGGAGAAGCCTTAAAGGATTAGCTACTACAAAAAATAGGACGTTAAGTATTTCTATATTTATTCTGGGTTTTTTTTTTCTGTATATAAATCAATACTGAATTTTCATGCACGTATCTATTGTAGCTCTATAAAAAAAAAAAAAAAATTTATTTAAAAACACTTACAAATTTTTCTGGACAGGGGAAGTCGAATAATTTGACCATTCCAAAGTCATCCCCTGTAACTAGACTAATTCCTGAGTGAGAGACACAAGCACAGGTGACGTCAGACTTCTCGTTGTGTCTGGACCACACTCCGATTACTTCATCCCCAAGGACACTGCACAGAAGATGATCAAAGAACAGGATTAGCCTATGGCGGGCATTGGCACTACAGATGTTTTAGACTACGCCTTCCATGATGGTGTAATAGCATTATGAAGGATGTAGTCCACAACATCTGGAGTGCTGAAGGTTGCCTTTCCCTGGCCTATGGCAACCACAGGGTCCATTTACTCTCCAACCAGACAGTGTTTTTTAGGTTACCAAAATTATAAATTTTGGGGAAATTAGGGTTAAATATTTAGCAGGAAAAATATTAAGATTAAATATAAACAAAAAGGAGTAATTCCTCTATTAGAGCATATTACCGATTAGTTAAAATCACTTTATTAAATCATCGCATAATCATAACTCTAAATCAAGAGGTGAAAAAAGGTGTGAAAACACACAAGTGTGTGTGTGTGTGTATGTATATATTCTAGCATCTTGAAGCTATCCTAAATAGAGATTCTCTCTATTAAACCATCATGTAATCGTCACTGTATAATCTATTCTAAAGTGATCTCTCTAGTACAGGGATTACTCCTTTCGGATACTTAATGTTTTGGGTTTGGACCATTTGCTTTTCAAGCAATTGCTTGGAACTACTTTAAGTGATAAGATCCTAAAATAAACCTATCCAGTTCATGGGCACCAACATTATTAGTGCTGTAGTTATTTGCTAAAATAGACCTTCACACACTGATCATACCAGTTGGCAAAATGTATGATCACTGGAACTTGCTATGAGCCAGTTGAACTTTAAATTTGAGATTGGTGGGTTTATCTCTTTAACGAGCTTCGAATCTCAAATTTAAAGTTCTGTTATGGGCAAATGCAAATATTACAAGTTTTAGAATGAAATCTTGTATTTCTTAAACTGTGTACTTTGTCTTTAAGAGATATTGCAAACTGACAAGGTGTTAGAAAAAGAAAAAAAGGTTATTTTTTCCCTGCAAGTGAATTTTCAGCGCAAGGTCATTTTGTGTTCACAGACTATTCGGTTTTTTAAAAAGCTGTTCTTTATCTCACATTATGAACGGCCTTGTAATTTCTATCCACATGAAGAGTTGGCTTTTAAATGTTATTGTTTTAACTTTAATATTTCATAGTTAATACAGAGGATAAAGTAATTTAAATAAAGTATATTAATTGATAAGATTTCATTTATCTATTTTGGTCCACCGTTCACTGATCTCGAGTCTCAGTCTGGTGTTCAAACAGTTTTTCTTACAATACGTTGTGAGTTTATATCCACAACTGCATTTTGCTTTGTGGTAACAAATTGAAAGCCTAGCATTGTAATACGTGTATGGACATGCTTATGACAAAGCATGGTCCCTCTCCTCATGTAGTTGGTCATTAACAGGCACTTTGATGCAATGTGTCTACCAACGCTTTTCTGTTGGCACTGGATCACATCGCATACCCTATCTCTCAGTCATGATGCAGAGTTCATGCATGCAAGGATATCCAGAAATAATCCACCTGGTATCCGCATAGATACTCCTATCCTTTAGAGGGGTTAATTACATAATAACCATTGAAGGTGATATGTTGGTTGTTCTTCCTATAGAGGAAAGATAGACTTGCCCTAAAAGCTTTTTCATGGCTAGGACAAGCTCATATAGAGAGAGGTAATGTACTTCTGACTCCTGAAAAGGAATATTGGTGGTCCAATATGGGAAATACTGTAATTCATGTGTTTAGTAATCATAAGCATTTGCTTATTGCCACATTACTGATGTACTGTTTATTGAAATATTCAAATATATAACATACTTTTTTGGGGATTACTATATATATGACGTTTGCCAACATCTCATGGTTATAAATATGTTTTTGTATGTGTTGATGCATGTACCAGGTTTACTTGGATATATCCTGTGCAAAGTGCAACCTCTGATACCACGTTTTCTAGTCTCACTTCCTTAGTATGCATTTGATAATCCCAGGACCATCCATTTGGATGGTGGTCCTGCAGTTACTGCAAAGGAAACCTAAAACTGAGCAACCACATTTGGGTTACTTTGGGATTTCAGTGCCCCAACCACGCCCAAAGAAGTGGGGTTGTGGTCTGGGAAAATGCTGAGGTTAAATGATGATTAACCAAGTTACTAGTTGCTTTCCCCACACAGTGGTATCTATTTATTCCTATGGTACAGATGAGCATTCACAACATACCTGATGATACAAATGGTGAGACACCATATGAAATGTTACATGTTTTTCACTGACAATCATATTTCTGCACCAGGGAGAGCTTAGAACCATTGGTTCTATTAGAGAAATTTAGGGAATTTTTTTTCCAGCCCACCTCGCCTTGCACCACCACCTATTTCCTACTGTTGGCCAGCTTGTCCTGGAGAGGGTGACTCCGAGAACTTTTACTACAGAGAACAATCAGAGCCAACAGAGAACAGTAAGTTTTGATATTTTACAACCTGCTAAATACTAACAGGACGTTCACAGAACCACTGACTGACACATTGAATGCTGTTAAAGATGACAAGATAAAACAAACAGAGGACGACAGAAAAGCCACCAGAATCATAGCCATGTAACAGACTGAATCATGATCTGACATCTGAACCTGCAAATGTGAAGGAGAAGGATGAACAGACAGACGTGATACATTCACAGTTAACATGGAATGTATGAAAAATGAATCATCAACATAATTATAAGAAAGACTCTGGAGAAAACAGACTGAACCTGAATTATCTTATACAGTAAGAAAGAAATGCAAAGATGGAAGCAAAAGGATGCTAGAAAATTGGTTATGGTGTCTCCTTCTTACAATCTGCAGCATTATCATAACATCAACCCTAGCTGATGTTTTAAAACTGCATTGAGATTATGTTAACAAGCAGGAAGCACCTGAACTGAATTGGACTGCACACTATACAAGTTTTGTGATCGTGAGGACTACCTCCAAGAACCATCTCGAAAGGAGAGACACAGCTCACAGTGAAATGATTGCTAATGTGACCTACACTGGTATTTCACAAGGAACCTATTGAGATCATTCCAAAAAACGATTATACATGAGAAAGATGTGATTGGACTATTACAACTCCTAATAATGGACTCAACGATGATGGCAAAGCATGCTGAAATCAGAAAAAGACGAGACAGATGCTTGTGAAAGACTTTGGATGCACCTATGAAGGTGATGCAAGAAAATAATTTGCCATATAGTTTATCATTGAATGACTAGTGCAAACCGCCTT